GGAGCGCTTCTTCCCAGCCAATGTCGCCCACTCCGTCTACATCCTGGAGGACTCTATCGTGGACCCCAAGAACCAAACCATGACCACATTCACCTGGAACATCAACCACGCGCGTCTCATGGTAGGTGCCAGCGGGCGGGCGCGCAGCCATGGGGCAGGCACTGGGCAGCGCCCACAGCCAGGCTGTGCCTCGTGCAGGTGGTGGAGGAGCGCTGCGTGTACCGGGTGAACCCGGAGAACAGCAACTGGACCGAGGTCAAGCGGGAAGCCTGGGTCTCTTCCAGCCTCTTTGGCGTCTCGCGCGCTGTCCAGGTGAGCACTGCCCAAGCAGCACTGTCCCTCTTTGGAGAGGCCTTAAAGCTGCTGCTCCCCCCCTCCTTTACCCCATTCCTGTGCTTGTTCTTCCACCCTTTCCTTTCGTTCCCCTCATAGTCTTGAGCTCTTGGGGCACTCAGAACCATCACTGCTGGTGGGAGTGAGCCCACTGGGTGTTTGGGACCGGTCAAGCTGGCACAAAGCCCCAGGGGCTCTGTGTGACCAGGGAGCTGGGCTTGTGCCTTCACACACTCTTCCCTTGCAGGAATTTGGTCTGGCCAGGTTCAAAAGCAACGTGACCAAGAGCACCAAGGGATTTGAATATGTACTAGCAAGAATGCAAGGTGAGCACCCAAGGGCAGGCTGGGGCTGACCGGGATGGGTCTCTTGGAGTTAAAGGTCACACTGGGAACGCTCGAGTCCACGGGCAGGTCATGGCTTGAACTAACTTGACTGTGAAATCCTTTTCCCTTGCCTTTGCCCCCACATCTTGGCACTTCCTGAGTGGAGCAGCCAGGCAGCACTTACAGGGCTGGGCAGGGGTGGAGCGCAGGCAGGAGGGGGATGTAACACGGCAGCAGTCATGTGCCTGCAGTTCCCCTTCATGACGTGCCCTGACACACGCAGGTCAGGAGCACCAGGCTCAGCTTCCCCCTGCGTGGGAAATCGCCTCCATCCCAAGGCGATGGAGCCGGTTGAGCTGACATCAGCCATCGCTCCTGTGCCAGGGCAGGGAGGGGGCCTGCTGGGGCTGGGTTAACAGCTTCCACGTTACAGGAGAAGCTCCGTCAAAAACACTGGTGGAGACAGCCAAGGAAGCAACCGAGAAAGCCAAGGAGACAGCTCTGGCTGCTACGGAGAAAGCCAAGGACTTGGCAAGCAAGGCAGCCACCAAGAAGAAGCAGTACGTGTGAGGGGCTGGGCACAGGCAGGCACCAACTGCACCAGAACAGATAGGAGCCTCCTTAGATTTTATATTTTTAAACAAACTGTACAAGTCTGACAATCAGCTGCTGTTAGACCCTTACTGAGATGTAATTATCATTAAAAAAAAAAAAAATTACTCCCACCTCTGATCTGGCTGGGGCTGGCCTGGCTGTAGCAGAGCCCAGCGCTGCCCTCAGCTCCGGGGTCCAGCCCACTGCCTGGGGGTCTGGGCTCACAGGAAAGACGCAGGCGGTGGTTTTACTAAGTGCCTTTACTAGAACAGGGTTGGCTATGTACAAGAGAGGGGGGGTGGCTGCAGGAGTGTGAAGGCAGGCTGCTTAATGCACCCACTTCCCCTTCCTGACTCTCCAGGGGCGGCAGAGCCCTCCTTTGTCGCCGTGTCTGCGGGGGCTGGGGGCTGCCCTGCCCCCCTGCCAGGCAGTCCCCACCCCCTAGCCTGCCCAGGAGGTGCAGGGGGGGAGGTGGGAGGGTGTCCCCATGACAGCCAGGCCCTCTTGCAGTGCATTGCAGCACATCCCCGTGCGTCCAGCGCCATCGCCGGTGCTGCTCAGCGGCCCGGCAGCAGGGGGACCAAGCCGGGCTCTTGCCCCCACCTACAGCCCCTTACCCTGGCAGCCCTGAAGAGGCCGGCGGAGGCTGCGTTTGCAGCAGCGGCAGGCGGGGAGCAGGCAGGCAGGCAGGCAGTGTGGGGAAGGCAGCAGGCGCCATCAGGACGCAGGGTCACGGGGGCTGGAGTAGCTGTGGTCCCTCCCGGTGCCGAAGCCAGGCAGCAGGTCCCCACCGCATACCG